CCAGTCTATAAACTTACGTAATCTAGAAATGTCTTCCAGCTGTGCCTCCCTTGCTTCCTCTACTGTTCTCTGCTCTAGTGTTCTATCCCTAGCTTTCTTTAAACTGTCAATTCTTTCTATAAGGGAATTATACTCAGTTGTACCTTCCGCTAACGTGGCGCGTTCCACGGTTTCACCAATAGCTTCATTAAAGTAGTCAGCCTGGACTTGTAACGCTCCATTGGGACCTGTTCTGCCTTCTATGCTTGATCCATCAGGTGGGTTAAGAACACCTCTCAGTTCTTTGTTTTCTTGCGTTGTTAGCCCTGGAAGGTCTCCTGGTTTTGCACTTATATCTATTAACTCAATGTTCTCACGGTTAGCGTATTCCTCAGCTTCATCAAATTGCGGCATTTCCCTGGTTTCCTCATCACTTCCAATTATATTGTCAGGATCCGTAGGTACCTCTTTTATTTTCTTTAGAAGGTCCTTATATTCTCTCAAAGCGGGTGAGTCCTTTGAGTACACAGGAGTCCCGGTCTTACCACGTTTCATTATTTGTGTGCCACTTTTGTTAATACCTTGTTCACTTCTAAATACCAACACCTCTGTACCATCCTTGAGTGTTCTTACAGATGATCGTTTGATGAGTTCCCTGACATATTTATTCCTAGGGTCTAGTATTAGTCCCTCCTTACCCTTGATGACTCTCACGACAGCTTGAACACGCTCTACTTGGTTTTCAAAATCTCTCTTTTTATTTGCTGTTGAAATCTTATTTAGTTTCTCTAGGCGGGCTTCTATTTCATCCCAGTCAGCGTCAAGTGATTCGTTGAATACATCTAGCACATCTGGAAGTAAATTGTTTGGATCTTCCACGAAGTTGACCCCCGGGACGGTTGTACTTCCTGATGGTCCTGAAATGTTCACTGTACCATCATTACCCTCGGTAAAGGATGTTTCTAGCTCCATAAGTCTATTATACTTATTCATAGCTCCCCCATATTTCTCTAAGGATTCTTTAATACTGTCAATTATTTCTCGTGTCTCCATTCGATTCTTTACATAGTCCAGTTCACTTTTAAGATTGGTTAATACTATAGGGTCATCACCATACATAGCCTCATCCTTCACCCTTGTATCTAACCTACTAAAAGCTGTCGTTAGGTCATCATAATTGAGGTCGTCATATTGAGGATACGTCTTTTCTGTCTCCTCCAACTCAATATTGTCATAGTCCTCCATAATACTTTAACTTATGTTAGAGACTTGATGTCTCCAGCTGGTATCCAACTGTTAAATTTGTCATCATAACCTAACCACTTAATGAGAGCCATCTTTTTACCCTTCACTGTTCTTCTTCTTAGTACTTTCTCTATTCTGAAATCAGGTTCTCTTCCTTCAGCGTTATACAGTTCCTGTTCATAGAATCTGCCAATTATTGGTTCATCAGCACTGTCTTTTATTGTATACGTGTTTGGATGACCGTGATACACTTCCGTAACAGTGAACAACTCCTCTGTGAAATTTGCTTCGTACCCTTTTGTGAACACTGATTTGTACTTCGAGATCCTGACACTTTCTCCGACAGCAAACTTTGGTTCCGATGGCTTGCCTAAATTGTGACTAAAAAGTGTCTTCCATACTTCAGTCCAGTTGGACTCATTTACACTGTCCGGTGTTGTTTTAATTGATCTGTTCACTGAACTGTTGTAATTATCAGTTAAGTCTTGAAGGACGTCTAACCATTTATATGTACTGGCACTGTAAAAGTACTTCCACATTATAGCTTTTAGTGTTCTGTTAAATCTTTCCACAACTGCGGCCTTTTTGTCTGAGTAAGTAGAGAAAAACTCAATGTTATGTTTATTAAGCAATGACTTTACATCTTTATTGTAGAACTCTGTGCCTTGATCAAACTGGGCGAATTTTGGGTATTTACCAAAACGATTATTAAATTGCTCTAAAATGTTACTGACGGCGTCCTTCATTGCCTTAGCGTTTTTCCTATACACTGGTACTGTGAATGAGTACCTACTTAGTATTTCGATTGATGTGAGAATCCATCGGTATCCCTTGTTCTTGTCATCATATTTTGTCATGTCAACTAAATCCATTTGTAACTGTTCACCTAAAGTTTGGACGTACGTCTGTCTGAACTTATGTTTCCTGAATACTTGTCTGTACCTAGTGTATGTGTCTTGCTCGTTTATCCATTTCTTGACCTGGTTTCTGGTTACTTTAAGTCCGTCTGATACTGCTCTCAGATATAGTTTCTCTGGTGTTTGGAATCCAGTCTTAGGATTGTAGTAAATATCTCGTAGTCCCTGTTCTTTCATAATATCATCGTCCATCTTATATTAACCAATGTAAGCTAACTACTCAAGGTACATCTCGATAAGCACTTCACCTATATCAATAGGTTTCCCGTCTTGATCAGTCACGTGGAATACAAGTTCTGAGAATGAACCCTTAATAACTGAAATCCTACTTTCAACATCAATGTAACTAACTACTGAGCCTAATAATGGTCTGTCAGTTGGAACTGTAACACTTGTTATTACATCGCTGGGTCTTCCCCAAGGGTTAACGTTGTAACTGCTACTAACTAGATTGCAGTGTAAATTTACGTATCGTAGACCATTATTGAAGTCAACTTTGCTATCACTTGTCAAACTCCTCTCTTTTAGTAGGATCATAGGATTAAAAAATCTATTAAAACCTAACATAGCCAGTAATCGTGTTTCTATTGTGATATCTTGTTTTACTGCTTCTATTTGACATCCTGCAGTTTCAGCAAAGTAGGTTAGCTTAACACCGTGTCTTTCAAGTAACTTCTTCATACTGTCAAATGTGTAGTAACCTTTACTAACAATTACATCAGATTCTCCATCATCTGTTTTCACTTTGAGAATAGTTGTTGGTTCCCTTATATTGAAGTACTCCCAGAATACCGATACTCTCTTCACAAAGACTGATTTATAGTTGCTTGTTAGAACTGAGTTCTGTAGTGATACAACTATGTGCGAGCTCTGGAGTAAAATTGTGAACTTCATCTTAATAACATACGTTAGGTTATTAAGAATGAGACTAGGTGGAGGACAAGTTGGTAAGTCGCCGTATAGATCGTATCAAGACTATGAAAAAAAGTATGGAAAGGAAGACGGTGAGGATCATGTTGACCCTGTTGCTGGAAAAAATGCAGAGAATGCTGAGAGGGCCAGATTTATTAAAAAGTACCCTTACGCTGATATGAATAGGTTTAAATTTGAAGCAAAGGCTACTAGTAGTGGTGACATAGGAGTTATCACTTGGTTTGTTGATTTAGATGGTATATCTTCATATGACATTAGATATGACGGTTTTAAGAAGGATAAGGAGTTTACATCTTATCTCACTAGTACTAAGGAAATTATTACTCCAGTACAATTCAAAACTATGACTGACATGGATCAACCTCCACTAGTAATAACAACCAAGTGGCCTTCAATGTGGTCCAGTGGTGGTATAGTTCACAAGATAAGTTTTACTGAGGGTGATCCTGTTATTGAAAAGTATCCTCCTATTACAAAAACTAATCCTATCTCCAACTTTAAGGTTTATGTTAGTAACAGTGAGTTTTTCTATAGTAACCTTCCTAAGATTAGTGATTTTATTAGTACTGATAATGTTACACCAAAGTTTAATAGAGAGTTGTCGTATTATGCAGCAATATGTGGAACTTATGTAGCTACATATCTATGTGGAGTCTCTACTTATCATACAAGTCCTCATAGTAATGTAAATCCTATTATCACATCTATTATGAACTTTCATGTGTACTTATGGATTAGAAGGTTTATTAAAAATCCTAGTTTACTTCAGCAGTATTCCGATAGGTTAAAGGTAATATCTAGTAATATTCCTGTTAAGGGTCAGTGGGAGGTTGATAAGTTTAGTGATAGTCGAGCATCTATTGGAATTGTGTATAGGAGGTTTAGAAATGAGCATAGAACTGTCAGAAATGTTAGGTATGCTAAAAATACATCTGGAATGATAGTTGGGATTAGTTATGATGAGCTTACAAGTATGTCTTCCCTTGCTAGTCTAAAAGATTATATGAGGTATTACGCAAACAAAAGCGTGGGTCTTGTTGATACCTCACTTTTACAGGAAAGCTTGCAGTGTTATGTATACTGTGTCCTTGGAGCTCAAGCTAATACTCGGTGGGCTATAGTAAACCGTGGAACCTCCTCTTTACTGTATCAAAAAGGATTCCGTAAACTTGTAGAAGATGTTGTAGTTCAAACTGATATTTCAGTTGGAATCACTAATATGAGAACAGCAATTAGAGATACTAACGCAATAGTAAATATAGCAATAAATCCTGACATTATTTTATTTCCATCAAATTTGGTAATATTAAAGGATCCTATTCCCGGTTATAATAATATTCTACTTGAACCTAACTCTAGTGTTAAGTTTGGTGTAAATACTAAAGTAAATTATGTAGGTGTTAAGAAAGCTGATCCTCCAAAGAAGCAACATCAGAATACAACACCTGTTAATCACCTTGATACTCTTAGTGGACATGTAAAACGGGATGCAACCCTTGATATTCTTAGTGGACATGTGAAACAAAATACAACCCCCGAGGCAAGCAACTTCTTTCGTAAGTCTATAGTTAATAGTAATGAGTCTTCGGAATCTAGCGCTATTGCTGGAGTTGGGATTGGTGCTACAGTTGTATTTATTTTAATGAGAATGTTCTTGTAAACATTGTGTATGTTATAAAAATGGCTCTCTATAAGGGATATATTAAGGGTGTAAATAATATTGATCCAACAACTGGTAGTGTGTTTGATAGGGATGGATTTACCATGAAGGGTGACATTGAGATGGATGGTAATGAGGTGAAGGGTTTAGGTGCACCTACAGATAATACGTCTGCAGTCACAAAAAAGTGGGTAGATGATGAGATAGTCAAGCAGGCTGCTGTTACAATTCAACCAGCAGGGTTTACAATGACTGGGGATATTGACATGGGAGGTAATATGATAACTAATCTTGATAATCCTACTAATCCAGGTGACGCTGCTAGTAAGAGTTGGGTTGAAGGTAGCCGCAGACACATACATGCAAGCTTACCCGGTCTTATCCTTACGAATGATCTTAATATGTCAACAAATGAGATAAAGGCTCTGGGTGATCCTACAACTGGAAAGTCTGCTGTTAGTAAGGATTGGGTAGTTGGAATGTTAAATAAACCTGTAACTGGACTTGATATTGCTGATGATATGATATGAAGGACCATGAGATTAGGAACCTAGCTAATCCTACAGACAACAAGTCTGCTGTTAGCAAGGGATGGTTTAATTCAAACACCAGCAACTTCCTTAAGCTATCTGGTGGTAACAATCAGTTTATCCGCGGTGATGTTCTATTTGATGAAGTTCCACATACAACTAAGGATGCCTCCACTTCAAGTGGTCTTATAAGGAAAGCTCTTCTGGATAAAAGTCTGGCCTATTACGTTCATCGTAATGGTTTAAATACAATGACAGGTGATCTTAAAATGGGTGGACATGAAATAGTAAATCTTAAGGATCCATCTGATGACCAGTCTGCTGTAACAAAAAAATGGTTTAAATCGAATGGAAATACTTTCTTAAGGTTAGATGGAACTGGAAATACCTGGGTTAAAAATGTTACTTATTTTACTAACCCTCCTTCATGTCCCAAGGATCCCCTCAATTCAAGCTCCCTTGTAAATCGTGGATATATATCTACCCAACTCCAATACTACCTGGAACGCGGCGGTCACAGTGAAATGACAGGTGCTCTTAAGATGGGTGGAAATGAAATTGAGAATATTGGGGCTCCTAGTGCTGATACATCTGCCGTTAACAAAAGGTGGGTAGAAGATAAGATTAGTGGAGGTAGAAAAAAGCGTGAGACTTATAGTGGACTTACTCTATCTGATGACCTCGATATGAATAATAACGAAATAATAAAGTTAGGTGCTCCTACAACTGATAATTCTGCCGTTTCCAAAAAATGGGTCACAGATCATGTCTCTGGAAGTTCAGTTAGTAGCAGTGGCTTCACTATGACAGGTAATATTGACATGGGAGGTAATA